CAGTAGAATGAGTTATCATAGATTTCCCTTCCTCAGAAAACAAGTATGAAAATGAATTATTTTCAATTTTTTTAATGCACGTTTATTGTAGTACCATTGGTTTACATCTTTGTTAGTATTTTGGAAGTACAGGATCTCCCCCTTCAAGTGTAGCCTTAAGGTAAAGCATACCTACCACCAAGTTACCCATAGTCCTCCACCATAGTCCATTGTGCACTCTCCCCACCTAGTTCTCACCCTTCCTCTCATGTATGCCTCAGTTCTATGGTCATCTTACAAAAGTAGATTTAAAGTTTATCTTTGTCTGAATCTTTGTTTGTTTTTTTCTATATTACACATAAAAATAAATGATTTTAAAATAATCAATTTAGGATACTGGAGATCTACCAAAGGCATGTCATAAGTTGAAAGGTGTTCACTCATCAAAAATTTCTACGTCATTCAGCACTTTCTTGAGTATTCCCATCTTCCATTCCTACTTTATGAGGCACTTAGAGATAAAGTCACAGGATATAGTTTTATACTGATAGTAGAGCAGCTAGAAATTTAACAGGGGGAATTTGCTAAAATATTTACACAAAGAGATACTATAGCACTCAGCAGTGATTGAAAAATCTAGATATTTGCAAATTTGCTATAGTTTTAAAGCATTCTGACACATATAAAACTCAGGCAGCAAAGAGTAGAAGCCACACTCACGTCAGATCACTAATAAAACTTATGCCCAAATCATCCAACTCACTAGCTTCTCTATTTTATGTGAGTACAGGGGAGTACTCACATAAAATGTTATGTGAGTATGCCATCCAGCTTTAAAAAAATATTAAGGGGAGACATCAGTAATGGCAGTCCATGGGTAAGACAGATGTTACAGTTTGGGCCCAAGCAAACTAACTGGGCTCAAGAAACCCTCAGAACCCAGTTAGTTTGCTTGGGCCCAAACTATGACATCTGTCTTACCCATGGACCCTCAGAAGGGCCTCCCCAGTGGCACAGGGGGTTGCGTGCAGCGCTGTGAAGCTGTCCACAGCCTCCGCAGTGCCAGCTCGATTTGCCAGCCAGGGAGATTCCCACATGGCCCAGCAGACCTCTCCTGTCTCGCCCACTGCTCCCCTCAGCAGTGTATTTCAGTCCTTCTGCCTGTTCTGCTCCCTGCTCTATCTCTAGTGGATTCTCTCACCCTCCCACGCCTCTGGCCTGTACCCCAGTGCTTGTATAAATAAATAAATCTTTTTTTAAAAAAAAAAGAAAGAAAGAAAGAAAGAAAGAAAGAAAGAAAGAAAGAAAGAAAGAAAGAAAGAAAGAAAGAAAGAAAGAAAGAAAGAAAGAAAGAAAGAAAGAAAGAAAGAAAGAAAGAAAGAAAGAAAGAAAGAAAGAAAGAAAGAAAGAAAGAAAGAAAGAAAGAAACCCTCAGAAGAACTTAATATTAAAGACTGGATTTTCCCCACATGATCAAGAATAAGACAAAGATGTCCTCTGCCACCATTCTATTCAACACTGTACTGGAGATTCTAGTCAAGGCAATAAAACAACAAAGAGCAATAAAAGCAATCCAATGTGGAAAGGAATATTGAAAACTATCTCTACCTAAACATGATAAAAATCACTTATACAGAAATTTCTAAGGAACTGTAAAACAATTAGTGCAAATAAATAAATTTGGCAAACTTGCAAGACACCAGACCGATACACAAAAATCAATTGTATTTCTATATATTTGCATTCGACAATCCAAATATGAAATTAACAAAATAATTACATTTTAAAAGCATCAACTAGAACAAAATATTAAGAAATAAAACACTAAGAAATTAATTTAATAAATAAGTTCACAACTTACATTCTGAAAACTATAAAACATTACTGGAAGGAATGAAAGATGCTCTAAATAACTGGAAAATCATTTCATGTTCCATGAATCAAAAAACTTAATATTATTAAGACTGCAATACTCATCAGACCAATCTACAAATTCAACCAATCTGCAGCAGAATCTGGAGATATTTAATTGTAGAAACTGATGCTCTGGTTCTAAAATTCATACATATCCTGAACAGCCACAGAAATCTTGAAAAAGAGAAACAGTGGTGGGAGAGTGACACTTTCAGGTTTCAAGACTTACTACAAATAACAGTAATCAAAATAGTGTTATACTGGCATATGAACAGTTACATAATCGATAGACTAGTAACAGTCCAGAAATAAAAGCTTTCATTTATAGTATTTGGAAATTTTTGGCAAGGGTGAAAAAGCTCTTTCAATGGGAAAAAAAACAGTATTTTCAATAAACGGTGTTGGCACTGGACAGTCATATAAATATATGAAGTAGAAACCATACCTCACACCATATGCAAACTAAATCAAATGGATCAAAAACTTAAATGTAAGAGATAAATCTATAAGACTCTTTAACTTTATGACCACAGATTTGGTGAAGAATCTTGGATATAACACCAAAAGCACAAACAATAACAGAAAATAATACAATGACTCTACTTCATCAAAATTAAAAACTCTTGGGCTTCAAAGGACACTGTCAAGAAAATAAAAAGAAAATCCATAGAATGGGAAGAAGTATTTCAAATCTGATAGGAATCTTTTATCCATTAAGAAATCTATATAAAGAAATTTATATAAAGAACTTTACATAAAATGTCTACATAATAACTTTATATTTAAAAACCCTTACAACTCAATAATAAAAAAATTTTAAATGGCAAAGGATCTGAATAGACATTTCTTCAAGGAAGTTATGTAACTGGCCAATAAGTCATGAAAAGTTGCTTAAAAGCTGCCAACAGTCATCAGGAAAGGCAAAACCAAACCACAAGGAGATACCATTTCACATCCATCAATATGGTTAGGAAATGTTAATGAGGTAATAGAAAAACCAGAGTCTCCTCACACACTGCTGGGGAAATGCAATACGGCACAACAATTTTCAAAATATTGGACGCTATGCCAAGTTATATGTAGACCTAGCAGTTCCTGTCCTAGGTTCACAACAAAGTGGAAATAAAAGAGACATCTGCACAAATGCTTGCACATGAAAGTTTACAGCAGCATTGTTCATACAGTAAAATTTGGAAACAAGTAAAATGTATCAACTTGTAAATGGACAAATAAAATGCAGTATATCCTTACAACACAGTATCATTTTGTCAAAAGAGGGGGGAAGTGTGCTGTAATCTGGATGACCGGTGAAGACATTAAGCCCAGAAAAGAACCAGTCACGAAAGATCACACATTCCCTGATTCCACTTACAGAAATACCACGAACGGCACCGCAATAGGAGCAAAATGGAGGGTGGTTATCACTGAGAGATGAGAAGATGAGGGACAGAGGTGTGATCACACAAAGGTTTTTATAGAGGTGATAAAAATGTTTTAAAATTGCACGATGGTACATATATCTGTGAATGTGCTCAAAACCATGAGTTGTTTACTTTAAATCAGTGAATTGTTTCACATGTTGAGTTACAACTCAAAGCAGCTTTTAAAATAACAGAAAATATCAAATTATGGTTAATGAAATATTCGTTATGAATTTATGGTTAATCGACATTGCTGCGCTGAGGCCTAGCCTAAAGATTTAAATTGCTTTCAGACCCTAAAAGTGCAAGAGAAAACAAAAACTAACCTAAACTTTTTTCTGAGACTTGCTTTTAGAGACACAGCAAGTCTGCGGTCTTATCAGCAAGCCCAGCTGAACTCCAAGACCAGCTGGGAACTGAGACCCCAGAGAGAGAGGGACCTACAAGCAAATTCCAAACTCCAGTTTTCTAGAGAAAGGCCTTAGGTATGAAGTGCCCTGAGACCAGTCAGTGAGCTTCCCTCAAGTCCACACTTCTTCGCCCCAACCCACTTTTCAGCCAACAAAATTTAACTCCTTTGTTTTTAATCCTGCTCCCCGAAACCTGTCTCCTTTCTTAATGGGGAGATGCTCTCTGGGCACAACACTCTGACCATCTCCTCAGAGAAATAGACTCTGAACAGACCCTTGCTTTCTTAACTCCACCTCTGGTCTTGTGTTTGGCTTGTAAATGATTTAAAAACAATAAAGTCAATATTCACGGATGGAGAAAATATCTAAATATCACAAGTCATTTGTCACCCCAAGAGAATAACCCAAGAAAATGTTAAAAAGTCTCTTTCGATTTACAATTTTTACTTTTATATGTTTCTTTAAGTGTTCACAGCAAATAGCGGTAATTCAGACCAGGAATAAAAGAGTATAACTCCACAAAGTGAAGAACCGGCATCGTGCTGGAGAAAAGTCTCATATTCTCTATAGAGAATCAGAGCTCCCTGCTCTCCAAGCATTTGCCTCTGAACTGTAACTTCAGAACGGCCTATTTGAGAGAAATATTTACTGTAAATACAGATACTCATAGTTCCACCTTACGCCGGCATTACCCTGGACCATCTGAGCCACAGGGAGACTTCAGTTCCCTAAAGAAGAATGGTTTGGGGGTTTGGCTCTGACATTATAGTTACTGCCCTATAAAAGAAATATTCTCAGACACAACCACAAAAACTCTGCTGAAGCATTTACAAAGGAGTATATACGTCAGGACATCACCCATAGGAAGACCTAAAAAATCAAATTTCTAGTGGCAGGAAATACTGTCTTTTCATTGAAAATTCAACTGATTTCTCTTTGTGGAGAATGTAAACCATGTACGTGATATTCTCTACCTGTCCACTGTGAGCACTAGAAAAGCCCCCAAAAATGAAAACTTAGTTTACACACTTTAACAAATAAAATCAAATAATTAAAAAGATAATAAGGGTAGTAAATATGTATATTTTCATATTTTATATATACCATATATACATAGGAACTCTGTAAGTTAATAGCAATCCCACAGGTTTTAAGAAACTCCTCCTAATTTCTTATCCTTTGCTTGCTCTCTCATTTGCCCAAGTCCTAATTTTTAACCTTCTTACTTTTCCACTTGTTGTATAGAAACCCAGTACGAAATAAGCGAGGAACTCACAGGAGACGTAGTCACATCTGTTTCTCTTCCAAAGGGCAGAGGTCTGAGGAATCAGGACTGGGAGACAGCCTGGAGCCTGCAGGGACCAGAATTGCCATTCACCAGTCTAGAAATAACCGCCACCAGCAGTCAGCTGGATGGCAGGTCACCCTGTAGAAGAAGGTCATTTGGTCCTTACACACAGCTGGCAAGGAAGTCCCCTAGGGATTATAAAGTGACTGGATAGAGCTACACAGAACTTGCCTATGGTGTATTCTCATTGAATGAATGCAAATGTTTCCTGCTGATTTACCAATATATTTTGGTTCCCCTTTGAACCAGAAATTGTGTCTGTGTCATAAAACAATTACAGATCTACACATGTAAAGATTAACTGAAGGTAAAGCAGTTCCTGGGCAGTGAGAATGGGAGTGACCAAGAAGAAAACTGAGGAATGCATCCCCACATCCCCTCGGCAGAAGCTCCAAACTCTCAGAGCCCCTAACCCAGCAAGTTCTCTTGCCAAGTTAATATGCATGGATTAAAACCAGTGTTTTGGGGCACACACCCTCAGGCTTTTGCTTCTTTCTTACCTGGACCTTCCCAGACACGAAGCTGACCACAGCAGAGTTCAACGCCATCTTCCCTCTCTATGACGAGGACAGAAGTGGCTACATTCATGAGAATGAATGTGACGCCCTTTTGAAGAATCTATATGGAAAAAATAACAAGGAAATGAATATCCAGCAGCTCACCAACTACAGAAAGAGCACCATGTCCCTGGCAGAGGTGGGGAGATGCTACAACCAGGACCAGGAGACTATCCTCTGCAGGGGGGACTGGCGCTGTTCTCCAACTCCCCAACTCCTGTGCCTGCTGCCCTATCACCTCTATCCAGAACCAGAGCTCGTGGCCTTCCTTCCCCACCCCCGCAACCTGCACACACCAGCCTGCCAGGCAGAAAGGAGAAATGAAGGCTGGGTTGCTGGTGGGCCCCTGCAGCCCCTGCACCCTGACAATGCTCTCTAGAGGGGCATCAGCCATACGGAAGATGGGTAGGGGCACAGGTGTTGGTACCCTGGCTCCCTCTGCTGCGATACATGAGCCATTCACTACACAGTTTAGGTGCCTATGTCCAACAAAGTGGACCTTCCCTCCAGGTCCGCTTCCTCCTCCCCCTGGCCACCACCCACCCCAACACCACCAAAACCTCCCCACCCCCTTGCTAATGGTACTGATGTTTTCTTAGGCTTCCCGTTTTGTTGGAGCACTGCTGTGGCCTTGACCTCCTGACTCAGTCTGTTCCTTTTCTCTTTGGGTTTCTTGTCATCTTACTTACCAAAGAAGCATTTATAGACAATAAAACAGAATATCCTGCTGCACAAGCGCACCAAAAAAAAAAAACAACTGATGATTTTAAAAAGTTTTTGTTTAGGGCCTCCCCGCTGGCGCAGCAGTTGAGAACTGGGCTGCGAAGCTGCCGGCAGCCTCTGCAGCGCCAGTTCACTCCCTGGCCGCCGGGCGAGGGTCCCACATGGCGCACAGACCTCTCCTGCCGCCCGCTGCTCCCCTCAGCAGTGTACTTCGTCAGTCTGCCTGCTCTGCTCCCTGCTCTGGCTCTGGTGAATTATTTCACCCTCCTGCACTTCTGACTGTACCCAGTGCTTGTATAAATAAATAAATAAATCTTGAAAAAAAAATGTAGCCAGAAATGCCGGGGCCGGGCTGCCTGTCAGTGCCGGAAGCCAACTGAATCTAGAACATGCACTTTATTGTCAGAAAGTAGGCCACCTGCGAGAACGGGGTCATTTTACAATCCATCACGATAGGTGCCCTGGTCTTCATCATGTCCCCAGAATCTGCTGTCGCCTCCTTGGTCATCTTGACCCAGGTGCATCCTGTTTTCCTGATGGTCTCACTGTCCCACACTTCATGTGTCACTGGGCGCAGGACTCTCAGTTCAGAACAAGAGTTTCCCATGCCCAGAAACAAAGAAGATGAAAGATAAACAGCTGGGACTACATCAAACTAAAAAGCTTCTGTACAACAAAAGAGACGATAAACAAAATGAAGAGACACCCCACTGCTTGAGGGAAAATTTTGCACTCCCTACAACTGATAAAGGACTGATTTCAAAGATCTACAAAGAGCTCACACAACTCTACAAAAACAAACAATCCAGTCCAAAAAACGGGCAGAAGAGCTAAAAAAAAATTTCTCTAAAGAGGGAATGCAAATGGCCAACAGGCATATGAAAAAATGCTCAACATCACTTATAAGCAGGGAAATGCAAATCAAAACCCCAAGGAGAGACCACGGCCCGTCAGTGAGAATGGTCCATATTAAAAAATCCTGACAGCAACACATGCTGGCGAGGACGTGGGGGGAAAGGACCCCTCTTGTACTGCTGGTGGGAGTGCACAGGTCCCACCGCTAGGGAAAGCTGTGAGGAGAGCCCTCAAGTTGCTAACAATGGAGCTACCCTATGACCCAGTAATTCCACGACTAGGCATCTACCCAAGGGAACAAAAATACTAACTCAAAAGGAAACCTGCACTCTGGTGGTTACTGCGGCCCTGTTTACAGCAGGGAAGGGATGGAAACGACCCAAATGTCCACAACCGAGTTGCGGCTCAGGCAGACGGGGTCTGCACACGCAATGGAATATTACTCGGCCATCAAAAAAGATAATCCTATGCCGTTCGCAGCACCATGGAGCTAGAAGGAATGATGCTCGGCGAAATAAGCCACATGAAAAAAGAAAAATGCTGGATGGTTTCATCTCTAGGAGGAATACAGGGGCGCCGAAGAGCGGGTTAAAAGGAAAAGACCGAGACTTGCAGGCAAACTGTAAATCCAGGGAGAGGGCGGGAGGGGTGGGGGGGAGGGAGGAGCGCGGGGACGGCGGTGACAGCTCCGGGGCGGCGTGGCGCTCGCGAGGCAGGTTTCGGGGCTACGCCCGAGGGGGAACACGCCGCGGACAAACAGGAACAGCAGTGAACCGTCAAAGTTTTAGTTCAAGGAAAACAGATCGTCGATCACGCAGCGCGGGCCGCGGGCGCAGAGCCCGACCCAGGGCGGGCCCTTCGCTCCCCCAGGCCCGCCATCGCCGCTGCTGCGCCCTCCTCAGGTCTGGGGGTCGTGGGAGACGAAGGAACTGAGAGGGGACAGCGCGCCCCCAAAGCCGGAGGGGCGCCGCCGGGAGCACCGTCCCCGCCGAAGAGGCCGGGCCGCGGCCACCCCCCGCGCGAGGAGCAGCGGCCGCGCAGGCGGCGCCCAGGACGCTCCCGCGGGACCGACACCCCCGGCGCCGCGGGCAAAACCAGCCCCGGGAATCACGTCCGTCCGCGGGGCCGGGCGCACCCCGGGCAAGGCGCCCCCCGCGGCCGCCCCGACGCCGCCAGCCAGAGGGTGAGGGTCGCACCCGCCCTCCCGGGCCGCGGCCGCCGATTCCGGGTCCCGCCGGCCCCTCGGGGGCAGGGCCGCGCAGGGACGTCCACCGTGGGGGAGGGCGCTCTCCGTCGGGCGGGGGCTCTCCGTCAGGGGCGCTCTCGTCAGGGGGCGCTCCCTCAGGGGGCTCTCCGTCGGGCGCTCCACCAGAGGGGCGCCCCATCAGGCGGGCCCTCCGTCAGGGGCCTTTCCCTCAGGGGGCTCTCCATCAGGAGGCGCTCCCTCAGGGGGCTCTCCGTCAGGGGCGCTCTCGTCAGGGGCGCCCTCCCTCAGGGGGGCTCTCCATCGGGCGCTCCAGCAGAGGGGCGCTCCAGCAGGCGGGCTCTTCCTCAGGGGGGCTCTCCGTCAGGGGGACTCTCCATCAGGGGGGCTCTCCGTCAGGGGGACTCTCCGTCAGGGGGACTCTCCGTCAGGGGGGCTCTCCGTCAGGGGGGCTCTCCGTCAGGGGGACTCTCCGTCAGGGGGGCTCTCCGTCAGGGGGACTCTCCGTCAGGGGGGCTCTCCGTCAGGGGGACTCTCCGTCAGGGGGGCTCTCCGTCAGGGGGACTCTCCGTCAGGGGGGCTCTCCGTCAGGGGGAACTCTCCGTCAGGGGGGCTCTCCGTCAGGGGGACTCTCCGTCAGGGGGGCTCTCCGTCAGGGGGGCTCTCCGTCAGGGGGAACTCTCCGTCAGGGGGACTCTCCGTCAGGGGGGCTCTCCGTCAGGGGGGCTCTCCGTCAGGGGCGCCCTCCGCCAGGGGGCGCTCTACGTGAGGGGGGTCAGAGGGGTTCTCCGTCAGGGGGCGCTCCCCGGGACCCGTCAGAACACCTTCCCCGGGTCCCCCGAAGGCGCCTCGGGTGTGAGGGGCGCTGCCGGCCTCCGCGCCCGCCCCAGCGCCGCTGTTTGGCGGGCCCTGGCCCCGAGGGGGGCTGTGAGGGTTTGCGGGGAACCCCCGTGGGCGAGCGCGCCGCAGCCCGGCTCCCGCGAGGACTCACGTGCTCTCGGGAGGCGGGACTCGGGCCCGAGGCGGCTCGGCGCGCCCAGCAGCCCCGCCCCAAGGCGCCGCGGCGCCCGGCCCCCGGCCCGCACTGCGCATGTGCAGGCGCGCGGGCTTCTGGGGCACCGGGCGGCTGACGCCACCGGCTCCTGCGCATGGGCCGCCGGGCCGGGCCCCCGGGAGAGGCCGCGTGCGTGCCGCCGGCCTCCTGCGCATGCGCGCCCCGGCGGCGCGGGGCTAGTCGGGCGGCTCTGCCCGGGCGGGGCGGGGCGGGGCGCGGGAGGGGGGCTGCGTCGCGCGCCCCCCGGTCCAGCCCGTCGCGGGCGCGGGAGCCCGAGGAGCTGGGGCCCGGCACGCGTGGCGCGCCCCGTGGAGTGCCCGGCGGGAAGGCCCGGCCCGCCGCTGGCTCGGCCCCGCGCCCTGCGGGCCCGCGCTGCCCCGGGGACGGCACGGCGGGAGCCCTGGCCCCGGAGGCGGGGTGCTGGCCCCCAGGTGGGGTGCTCTCCCCGCAGGCGGGGTGCTGGCCCCGGAGGCGGGGTGCTGGCCCTCAGGTGGGGTGCTCTCCCCGCAGGCGGGGTGCTGGCCGCGCAGGCGGGGTGCTGGCCGCGCAGGTGGGGTGCTGGCCCCCAGGTGGGGTGCTCTCCCCGCAGGCGGGGTGCTGGCCGCGCAGGCGGGGTGCTGGCCCCCAGGTGGGGTGCTCTCCCCGCAGGCGGGGTGCTGGCCGCGCAGGCGGGGTGCTGGCCCCCAGGTGGGGTGCTCTCCCCGCAGGCGGGGTGCTGGCCGCGCAGGCGGGGTGCTGGCCGCGCAGGTGGGGTGCTCTCCCCGCAGGCGGGGTGCCGGCCCCGCAGGCGGGGTGCCGGCCCCCAGGTGGGGTGCTCTCCCCGCAGGCGGGGTGCTCTCCCCGCAGGTGGGGTGCTCTCCCCGCAGGTGGGGTGCCGGCCCCACAGGCGGGGTGCTGGCCTCGCGCCACGGCGGGGAACCGTGCTGCGCCCTCGGCTGCGATGTGCCCGGGCCCGGGAGCAGGGGCGCCGGCTCTCCCGGAGGCCGCCGCGACGCGGGGCCAGGCCCGAGGAGCCCCCGGGGAGCTGGCGCGGGGAGCCGCCCCGAGCGCAGCGTCACCCCGGGGCCTCCCCTCGGTCAGAAGCGGAGCAACCACCCCGGCGCGGCGCGGCGTCGGCGCCTCTCCCGGAGGCTCGGGGCTGCGTGGCCAGCCCGGACCCTGCCCCGGGCCGAGCGGAGACCGAGACTTGCCCAAGCCCCGCGCCTCCCAGACTGAAAACACAGGCCCCCCTCGGCGCCCCGCGCCCGGCCCGCGCCCCTGCCGCTCCAGCCCCGCGGGGCCAGGCTGGCGAGACTCCAGGGCAGCGAGGGCTGGGCCCGGCGGCCCTCTACACACTCACAAGGAGTTGACAGCGTCGTTTTTGACAGCTGTAAATTTATCTTTTGGGGTGTCTGTCTATCTGGTTACCCAGTTCCTTAAATAGTTCATGAGGATTTTGAAATTCAGAAATACAGAGGGGTTTTTTGCAGATGATAGATATTTTTAAAAATCCATTTAAGGGCCTCCCTGGTGGCGCAAGGGGTTAAGACGCAACCTCTGAAGCAATCCGCAGCCACTGAAGCACCAGCTCGATCCCCAGCCAGGGAGCAACCCACATGGCGCAGCAGACCTCTCCTGGCTCCCCGCTGCTCCCCTCAGCAGTGGATTTCAGTCAGCCTGCCTGTTCCCCACTCTGTCTCTGGTGGATCCTCTCACCCCCACACACACACACCTCTGGCCTGTACCCCAGCCCTTGTATGCATAAATAAATAAATCTTTAAAAATAATAATAAAAATCCATTTAATAGGAGGGATCTGTAAATATCCATGTGCATATCTGTGACATTAGAAATCAGCTAATTACTTGTTCATTAATCCAAAACGGAACCCCATTCTCTTTAAGTGAGTTTTAACAGAATTTGGACTATTGGGGAGATACATACAAAAAGTGTGTAAGAACTTGCATGTGGAACAAGACAGATTCTGGGTCCGCTTTCAGTCTCATGTTCTCTTCTGTGAATCAGACAGGCAGTAGCACCGTGGTAAGCTGTTGGATTACCACAAGGATTGAATGCGGGTGTGGGCCTCATACACCACACACACACACACACACACACACACACACACACACAAAGAGAGAGGTGGGAAGGACTGTCTAAGTCAGTAACTGCAACCAAGTACAGGAACTGAGCTGATTTGCTGGATTGAAAGTATCACTTCCACAGTTACAGCTGCAACTGACATCAACAAGCGGTTAAGTCTAATCTACGGTTACTCTAAAACCATCTGACTTTTGCCTGTAAAAAAGTAAAATAGAGAAGTGGTAGACCTAGAGGTCTAGTTCATGTGCAGACTGCTCAGTGATTCGTGGTGGGTCTTGAGAGTTTGCAGGTTTTATGAACTCTCAGGTAATATAACCAGGTAAAACTGCTTTGGAAAACGGGCATTGTGTAGGGAAGCTGAAGACATGCACACCAACTTTTCATCATTTGGATTTTAAAATTCCTCCCAAGTAGGGTAAATAGAGCTGATGTGCAGAGAGCCCTTCTATGTTGGGGGACTCGCAGACCCCCGTCAGCCGTGCAGCCGCTACTAGTGAATTAAGACATTTGCATTGACCCATAGCCTCCTGGCCCCTAACTTTATTCACCCATTTATTAATAACTGTGAAGATTTTTACTCTGGTGGAACGGGTTTCTCAACTCTCCCCTTTGTCTTTCCACATTCCCCTGCTAATCACTAATTTTCTTCACTATTATGTCAGCATTTTCTACCTTCAGTACGGTCCCTGCAAGCTGGCAACTGTGTCCTAATCCACCCAACATTCTCCTCTGCCTACCTCTTAGCTGCGACAGATAATGATAACCAAATGGCTGTGTATTTCCTTATGTATCAAGTAAGTCAACTGCTTTAGAGTTGCGTCTGTAATTCCTAAATTCCATTGGTAAATTTATCTCTAGACAATAATCACAGCTGAGCTGCACTTCCGTGCCGTGGACCTGCCTGGGACTCACCAGTGCACCAACCCCATCTCATCTGGCCTTTTCCCAGCAGCTGCTTGTGCTGTTTTATTAAGTCGGTTTCTATCTGGTAAATCACACTCAACAGCACCTGTAGTTCTAGAAGTCTCCAAGGTCAGTCTGTTACAGGGCAGAGAGAGGATCATCCAGAAAGGCCAAACCTTCCTGCTGTGAATAGGTTCTGCCATCTGCCTCATGGAGACAAAGCATATAGACCTTTAATGGAAAGGAACCTGAATACAATTAGTGAGCAACACAGAAAAGACAAAGCATAGAGTTTCCAAATCAAGCTCCCGAAGTTACCAGTCCCCTCATGGGTAAAAGTCCACCCAAACTGGATTGGCCCAGAGCAAGACCTGAAAGCCACCAC